GTTAACGAATAGCGATATCGAAGTCTCACCGGTTTGCCGGTAATAAATTTGGTAAAAAAAACTGACGCTGAACCAAGTTTGCGTGCATATACAATGCAGTACGCTACGCTAACGCTGCGTGCATTTTGAGTACCCCATAACTGGTTGCGGCATATATATTAATGGGACCCCATATGATTCTGGTCATCTGGGACGAACAGGAGACTCCTTTAGGAGTGGGAAGGATATAAATAATGAAATGTTCAGATGATTCCTAGTTTCTTTCTAGCCAAACGGTGTGCTTTCAGAAAGTCTATGAACGTTACTTCACATAAAAACTGCATGGCGTTTAAAACACACTAAATCTTTACATCTAGCGACGACTACATACGTAATGTTTTTCGTCTGATCATCCTTGCTATATATGTAAGGTTCAGCACAATTCTTATCGTCTTTAAAACACGGATAAGCAAGCACTTGCAAAGTTATAAAACCAACGTTCAAACCTTTTGTCTTCACGAATATCAATGAATAAGCAATGCATCTCAATAACAAATAAAAAGAGTACCAGTTAGGCCCCCGCCCGCTGTTGCGGATTACTTGTCTTTAAACAACGTTTAATTATTGTTAAAAATCTTCATATTGACATTTAGGAACATTGCCAAGATGATACTAGAACTAATAATATGGACACTCGTTATTGCATCGACCATTTTCTTGTTGTTATGGAGACTGATCACGCCACCAAAAGTTAAGATAGTAAGAAAAGCTCCTGAAAACGAAGACTTGTACGCTAAGAGTCGTTTTATTCCTTCGAAAGTCCCAAACAATGTTGATGTAATTATCATTGGTTCCGGTATGGGTGGGGGAACGGCCGCATCAATCCTGAGTAAATATGGCAAGAAAGTTGTTGTGTTGGAACATCATGATAAGTTAGGAGGATGTACGCACACATTCTCTTGGTCCCGACAGAACATGTATGAGGAAGGACACACTACTTGTGAATTCGATACAGGTTAGTTCAGTAAATCTAGTATTCTTTGGTTGTTTTTGTTTATCACATTACAGTGGTATTTGATTGCAACTATAGGCCCTTGAGAGTTGTGGGATTTTCAAAACAATGAGAAGAAATGGAATAATCCGACCACTGAATAGCATAGGAGGCCCAATAGATCGTTGTAATAGCAAAACAATTAAAATTGTTTGAAATTCAATAATTATTACACGGTTACGATTTCCGCCTGATTCATAATTTGCAATTACGTTACTGCATGTGAAAATCTTTTAACAACTGTCGTCTAAGCAATACTAGAATACTGACTGAGGTCTATCATTGATTACCATATATACAAGGCGTTCATGCAGTTTTAATACTATGCATCATATTATATATTTTCTCTCAAATAGTTACTGCAGAGCATAAAATTCATTTTGATAACTATCATTTGACCAACAGCTGCACGATAATTCTTAGTTCTGAAACATATCTATCGCAGTTTGTGGTTTAACTCCAACACGTTGGTTTGGATATTATCAGGATTTTATCGGATTCTACCGTATCTACAAATCTACCTTTTAAGATATGCGTGCTTTAAAGACTATTAATAGTCCTTTAAAAGACGATTTATTTCGAAAATGATTTGTATTTATTTTCGACCATAAGCGTACGAGGCGGGGGAGCGGGAAGCAAGGGGGTAGCTTCCCTTAGAAAAATTGAAGTTGAGCATATTATAAATGTAAGTCGGGCAAAAGGATGCCAGAATGTGCTGTTTCGCAAATTTTCCTCCTCCCCCCGCTGGACGTTTGATAAGCCGGGCAAAATAAGAAAACGTCGGGAAAATACGAAAAAGTCTCCACCCCCCCCCCCCTAATTTTTCCCTTCCGTACGCCTATGACACTATGTTTTCGTCTGTAGACTTTTAGGCTTTTAGCCACAGGCTAATGAGCCTTTAATTGTGTATGATGCTTAATTTCGAGATTATCTGCGCTACAGCGATTTGAGAAAGACGTATGTCTATTCTTCCATGTGTTTTAGATCGAGAGTCGAGACCTTAAAGAAGATTTGGCATGTTGGGGTGGAAACATTTAAAAATAATTTATTTATTTTCCCTTCGTGCGACATACAAGGATTTATCTCTTCATTTCAGAAGATTACTATGGGAACTATATTTGAAGAAAGGATTTTATGACCAATCGTTCTTTGCATTATAAAACCTGCGAAAAACACTAATTATGACCAATAGTTTATCAATACTGCATCATGGGTATTGTGGATGCAATGCTAAAGACCTGTTCGAACAGGCAATGTTGAAATATTTGGTTTAACTTGTACATAATACTGCTCAGGGTGTACACAGTATAGTGCCCAGATATACACAATACTGCCCAGGCTGTCATTTTCTTAAATATAACTTCAAATACACAAAATCAAGAGATAGATCATCCGTCACGAAGCAACATAAATCGTTTTAGTGAAAACACAAACATTTCACGAACTAGCTAAAATAGCACAATCTACACTGGAAATGGTTCACCATTTTCATGATATCTCGTATCATGCCTTACTTATACACAGAGGGCAAATACATTGATTTCCGTTTTCCCGCGACCGCACCTAGTCGCCACTGAAATCACCGTCCTAATCTTTTTACCTGAAGTCTGCAAAGCCAAAGAGTTTTTTGTACCCAGTTCGTTGCGTTTTGTATTAGCTATATATAAAAGTATGGCATGTTTGTTTTAAAGTTGGTATAATATTTAACAACTGTTTGTCATCCTATCGTTGCTGCCATAATTGAAGTAAAATATCATTCTTTTGCATGAGCATGTACAAAAGAAAATTACAAAAAGAAAGAAAACCGACCCATACCCTATCTGAATTTTTGCAACAAGACAGATCGTTTGTTACGTCCATGTAACAACATACAAATTCATCTTCAAATATTTTAAAAATATATTACGTATTTTATCCTCTTCTTTGTATAGGTTGTCATTACACAGCGGTGGATATGTCCATGCCAGTTGCTCGGTCTGGAGCGGTCATGAAATTCGTTACTGATGGAAATGCAAAATGGAATGATTTGGGCGATCCCTATGATCACCTTGTTCTCCCCCATGATCCCAACGTTGACCCCGGGTGTCCTAATAATGACAGTTATGATTTCGTTTGCGGTAAAGAACGTCTTGTCCAGGAGATTTCATCCCAAATCAACCCTAGTGAACCCTTGGTGGTGAAGCGCTTGAACACATTCCTTTCGTTTTGTCACAATGCTCGTAAAACTATAATCAATATGTGGTTAGTTCGCATGTGTCCAAGATGGTTAGAGGGACTTCTGTATAAGCTGACTGAGCCGTATTATACGTTTGGTAAATTAACAACTGGTTACGTGTTGAGTGCGATGTTGGAACATGGCTTTAGTGAGGAAGAAGTCTTAGCTGAGAAGAAATTGCCTGAAAAACCTGAAGTTGATTTACCTAATACGTGGAACCGTTTAAAAGGTAATCAGGTTTGAGTTTAGTTCAGACAAATAGTACGAGTTGAGACCCTAATAAGTTGAAACCTTACACAGTGAGATATACCATCGTAAATTATGCATGCTTTCCTTGGTATAGTTGTTTTTCGCTGTCATGGGCTTGATTTTTTAGGTATTAAAAATTCCATGGTATATAGGTACATAGAAATTAGATGTTTTTGAATTCTGTGGTGTACACAAAGTAGATATGAGATGGAAATATGTGAGAATGAATGATTATGAGTGCATGCTTGTCCGTTTATTGGTGTAACCTACTAACCCAGATTAAAATCTGACCTGTTTGGAAATTGTGCCTTAGAGGTTTTACGAATGCCAAATTTACGAATGCAAAATTTAAGAATGCCGCAAACTTTAAGGTTTAGGAATGCTAAATTTATTATCTAACTTATCTAGGTGTGATGGTGCATCCTCTTGGAGATTACGCATGTCAACCAAGTGATTCATCTGTGATTGCTCATTCTCTCACTGCTTTTTACTATATCAACGGCGCGGCGTATACCAATGGACAAACACAAACCATCGCTAACTCCTGTGCCAAGGTATATATGCTTTTCTTACTTCCACTGCCAGATTATCTATGAGGCGCTTTTACCTTTTTTGATCCGAAAATTTAACTTGTAATTACTTTTTATTTTTTCACTTGTATACCCGTGCATGCATGCTCTTAGTTATGGCCGTTGTATGTCTTGCAAATGATAACGGCTTAGATTATCCACCTTCCGCGCATTACATCCCTGCATGTGAACTATCCATATCTGAATATCACTGACTGCCAGTATTTCAGGTCACAATGACAGCTAGGGAGTTGGCCCTCGGGAGACTAAATTAAATATGGATTAAAAATAGATGATCAATCTGGAGGAACATGAGCAAAGATAATTCCTCTGATAATTGTCTGTGTATAATTAAACGCAACAAAAAGACGAATCAGTTCATCAAGTTAGACAACTAATTATCTGTGTAATAGTCTATTCTCAGACGAACGTTCGTGCGTGGTTCCCCTTAAAAGACAAAATGTGTTATTCTCAAACTGTAATATGCGGATTGCAGACCAGCTATTTTCTTGCCTTAATATCCATTTCCACCTAGGAAAATATTCCGCAGAAAGAAAATTTTGTAAACTGATGTGATTGGTCGACACATATTTTCCGTTGGGAAAAAATTTTGAATTTAAAAATTTTCAACTTTTATTTTTTAACAATGATATTTTCGGAACCTTTTCTGTCCTTTTCTGAAATGGGCCTTAAGTCCTTTGGGACGGGCCATCCGCCGTGTTGTGTTTATACAGATAATCGACGAGACGGGTGATTCTTAACGGATGAACAACTCGGGCCAGTGCGGTAATTCCAGTAGAGGCGGATCACGCTATTTTTGCTAGTTCTGAATAGACGGATGATGCAACCAACCTAACGGATGATCTGTTTCTATAGTGTAAATTGTTTTGTTTCTAGTAAATCGGGAAATTTAAGGGAAATGTTGCAACATACAGTGTTGCAAGATATCGTTTTGTGCGTTACAGTATTGCAAGATAAACACCGTAGTTTATTTTCAAACACACGAAGCGTAATTTGTTCACGTGCAAAACCGCACTAACATGTTATTTCAAGCCTATTCTGTTCATCGTAGATTGTGCATGAACATGGCGGGGAATGCTTTGTGAACGCTCATGTGGATGAGATTATCGTCAAGGATAACAAAGCAATCGGTGTTCGTGTTTGCAAGTCATCGTCTCTGGACAGCGGGAAACCATCGGATGAAAAACCAGAAATGACGGAAATTTATGCACCCGTGATAATTAATGCAACTGGAATGCATAATTTATACAACAAGCTGTTGCCTCAGGATTTACCCGTGGTTAACGATTTTAAAAGGACAAACAAAACCATACCATCCTACGGACACAATTATTTGTTCGTTGCAATTAAAGGTATAATACGCTTTAATTTCGAAGCAAAGTTAATCTGCACGTATGCCAACAATCATAGACAAAAACTAGTCGTAATGTTTGTAGAAAAGCTAGTCTTTACCCTGTCATATCTTTATATTTCTCTTACCCTTTCTCTTGTTGTCGTCAAGAATGCGATAGTGTTGTTTAGGTGTAAACCATGCAATATTGATTGCATAGGAGATTGGGGGAAATTGGACTGGCATAAGCCTGTGATTCTTTGATGGAACTGAAGTGTATGATCAAATGCAAAGATATCCTTATACATTCTTTCAACAGTTTGGTCCATGATGGAAGATATTGAATTCATTAGAGAGTCTTACTAATAGGTCTGACTACGAGTACTATTAATACCATTGCAAGCTTCGTCGGCAGTAGTATTCTGCTTTCACCATGCTTCAGCAAGCGAGTATAGTGCTGATAGAAACCATTCGGGGGTGGAAACAGAATACGAATCATTGAATATTCGTCTTGAGTATATGTAAACTTTAGTTTTGAACTATCCTCCATTAAACTTTCACCATAGTGCCTAACGAAAATATCTTGTGAACAGTGTTTCCGACCGACTCTCTGCCGTCGGTTGTATAATTACTCTATTTTTTCGGGTCGTTGTGGTTTGCTCAGTGCCGTTGTCTCAGTTAGTGTCGAACCTTACAGTTAAAATATTCGTGTGTTATGGCAATGTCAGCTGATCAAACTGACAAGCTTTAAGCAAAAAATTCACAAAACTTATTCGGAAGTAAAGACCCGCGTATAATGCATGAGTCAATTCCTGGAGTAACCATCCCCCCCCCCCGGGACACCCCCGGGAATTTGCCCGATAGACAGTTCACGGGGGTCGGGAATTTGCCTTTCATATATGTGCACGGGGGCCGGGTATTGGAGGACCCCCGGGGATTTGACAAATGGTTGACCAAAATCCCACCCACAAATTTTAAGGCAGCAAAACCTAGTTTCAGGCACGCATGTGGGCGCGCTGATCGTATTTTGCGCCCTCGTGGTCAAGGTGGCGTGAAATTTATTGTAAGAATAAGCGAAAATTATACCTGTGCCATGCAAATTTAAATACAACTATTAAAGGTTTATGTTTTATAATATTCCATAGCAGTTTAATACTATAATGTTATTAAATGACTATGATTATATGCCATTAAAAGTTTAATTAACGTTTACAGTAAAATCGTCCCCGGGGTGGGGCATTTTCCACTCTCAGCTTGCCCAGGGGCCGTGCATTAGTCTTCAAGATGTGTCCCGGCACCCGGGCATTTACACTATTATAACCAATCAAATCAAATGCCCGGGTGTGTTCCCGGGGGGGGGGGATGGTTACTCCTGGAATTGACTCATGCATTTAAACAGTCACATGCACGTTGCGGCAATACTAAAGCAATTCTATTTATATATGTTCTATTATATGCTTTCGTAAACTTGAATATTATAGAAACTAGGCATGCGGGGTATCCAAAGTTCTGAAACAAATGTTAGTTGCAGGTATTATATATATACATCTATTTTTTATACTTTGTCTTAAGGTGACGCTCATGAGATTGGTATTCCTGTAACCAACACATGGTACTTCAATGGCTATAATACTGATGAATGTTTCAATAAATATTTTGAAAATCCAACCGAAAACCGACCACCGACCTGTTACCTAGGATTTCCTTGTACAAAGGTATTAGTAGTTCAAAGTCTAGACTACGCAATCTCAGTCGAGCATTTGTCCTGCAGGCTTATTCGGATACAAATTAGCTAATAAACCATAGTTTGTAAAAGCATAGACCAAAGAACGCAATTTTAACCCCATACATTTGATTTTAGAGATTTCAAAGATTTTATAAATTATATCAGCCAAGCTTTTAGGTTTGCAAAGTTACTGCTCAATTTAATTACAATTACTTGCTTCAAAAGGTTATAAATTACCTATTCAAAAGTAAGGAATTACAATTACGAAATTACCCTCTCAAAAAATAAATTACAGAATACTTTTGTAATGTACTATGAGGATCACGCCATCTGGCATCACGCATGTTATTAGATTATTTACTGTGTCATGAAGAATATATAGAGGATATTACTCGGCGGGGCGAAGATATGACTTTTATCTTCGAGTGGTGAAAACAATATTTTACGAACGAGCGCAGCGAGTGAGTAAAATATTGTTTTTAACACGAGAAGATAAAAGTCACATCTTCAAGTCACCATGTAATGTTCTGTTTATTATATAGTCCCAAGCAAAAAAATGTGAAATTTCACGCTCAAAAGCAAATTGTCACGTGATCGATATCTTCACTAGTGAAGACATGGAAAATATCTCGCTGTGTATTTTTCAGTATCTCACTCTCTACTGTATAATAAATACCGTTATAATGCTGTATTTTTACTACGATAGGATCCAACATGGAAAGAGCGGTTCCCTGGAATTTCCAATTGTATTCTCATTTCTGACGCCAAGTATGAATGGTTTGAAAAATGGAAGAATTTAAGAACGCACAAGCGAGGTGATGATTATGAAGAGTACAAGGAAAAGTTTGCTCAAAAGTTGTTGGAGATTTTGTACGAGAAGGTGAATATTTTTATTTTTATAACGTGTAAAATACACTCCTCGATCTGTAGCAGACCTGGTGAACCCTGACCATGTTTGAACTTCACCAGAGCGCGCATTTTGGCGCGATAACTTACCAGATCCTCAGTAAGAATAACATTTGCATTCCTCACCAAGGGAAAAACCTCCAGGTTCCAGGAAGGCAGAAAAACTTGAGTCCCACCAGGCAGTGTTGTAGCAAGTCACCTACAGGTCGACTCAAGAGTCGAGTCGTTTCACTTTCTGATCGGGTCGAGTCGAGTCAATGGGTCTGCTCGAGTCGAGTCGAATCAATAGCTAAACTTGAGCTGAGTCAGGGAATTTGATCAAGTCCACCCTACATTTTCTGTTATGGTTCGATATCCTGGCTTGTAGTCTGTGAAATTAGTAATCATGCAAATTACTTTAGTAATTTAATAACAGTATCCGTTTGAAGAGAGCTGCTAAGATATTTTTACCTTGTTAAATTACACGCACAAAAAAGTCGTATTCAGCACGGCCGCTCATATTCTACATATTACTATATATTCATATATTTTCTTGGTAAGTGTTGCACGACCCCTTTTCTCGGTTATATTCTGACCAATACAGCAGGATCGTCGGGGCCGTAGGGGTAATAGCTCAACAGAAGAATTATCGATATCACTGACACCAACAACAAGGTTTCTTTTTATCACATATATATTTAGAATATTGTGCGTCCTGTGCGTAGCTATTGATAGATGCAAACGCTCTCACTACAGTCAACTCACTAAGACACTGTTTCCTGACAGTGTCATATACATTGTCTCATGTTAATTAAATTATGCTATTGTGCATTGTTCATCAATGGTTCATTGTATGTTCTCATGTGACTATCACGTGCAATACTCGTGCATATAATTCTAGTATTATTTCCGTGTATAACATAAGGTACCTCAAGTCAAAGGAAAGGTGTTGTGGTATGAATGTGGGACTCCAATCTCCGACTCCAACTTCCTGCAGTCTTACAAAGGCGGCTCATATGGTACGCGTTGTAATTTGGAATTCACTAATCGCGAGAATTCCAGATGGATTATGAGACCTGATACGGAAATTACAAATCTGTTCATGGCTGGTCAAGATGCGTGGACTCCAGCTGTAGCTGGTGCAATGTATGGTGGATTATTAGGAGCGACAAAGGTATTTTTTATTTCTTCTCACGATGCACATGCACGTCACCGTAGAATATTGTTATTTCTGCAGACATTTTCATGGTAACTTATATACGAGTATATACACATAAAATGTCAAAGCAAATTTCTCAACAACTTGTAAATGTTTCCAGAAATATTTTTCCAAAAATCTTGTCTTCATTGATAACAGTTCTATTTTACAAATTTATGAAACAGAAACGCGCAGACCAAAACGTACAGCTGCATGCATGCATGCATGCATGGGTAGATTTTACCCTACAGTGCTTTGAACAACCAGCCCCAGAGGAATAAACTTTGGCTTTGGTTGCAATGATATAATGTAAATTTGCATGCCATAATGCGGGCTGTTTTCAAGATGACAAAATTTACATGAGTGCGCATATGGTCAGGAGAATGTACATAAATTTGTAAGTAAAACCTCATCACATGCGACAATATTTGTCCCAATTAGTTTTTTTTTATTTACTAGTACGCTTTTCATTTTAATTACAAATTGCTTAAAGACAACAGAAAATTCTTAAAAATACTTACTAGTAATAGTACGCCTAACTACTCTCCTTTTATCAATTGCCCAGACTGCCGTAATATCCATAAATTTAAAGGCATATAGGCGGCGCAGGCTATAGTTCTTTTACAGTAATACAAAGATTCTTTTACAGGTTCTTTTACAACCAAAACTGTATTTTTCATCGTTTTAGGTGATTGGGTTTTTCCAAGGTCTAGGTCTACTTGTGTCAATAATGAAGCAACAAGCTCGAGATATTCAGGCAGAAACTGGCTGGTCGACTATAATCTGCTTCAAACGAGCCATTGAAATATTCTTCGATACCAAACCTCCACGATTTAATAATAATAATAACAAGAAAAACTGGTAAAAGCGAACTTCTAATAGATACATTAATTGCAGACTGAGATTGACGTTAACGATAAATCGCTTACAAGTTTAACATTAGCCATACTGTCCAGTAGAATCCACAGAAAAAACCGAAATTTTGGCAATTAAGCCCCTACATTAGTGTGGATAGCGCTATCTACCCGGATAGTGATTTTTTTCGACCGTGCATGTAAAAATTAATATATGGATGGTAGATGGTCATGGACCTCACAATTAATAAAAAGAAAGTTCATTAAGTAAAAACCAATCAACGGACAATTTTAGACAATTTGACGAATATACACTATCCAGTGGCGGGGTCCCTGGTTCTTACAAAATCTAGCTACTAGTTTTTTGAAGTATATATATTCAGAACTAGTTAAGATCCAACTCTGTCTAAACGCCTCTTCTATTTTTTTATATAAAAATTCACTTCAGCCTGTCGCCAAAAATAGTGGTTCTTTTATGCGGTTTTTACGTATACGTTTTGGCGTATTATGTGTGATGTTGGAATGAAAACTCTTTCAACAAACCTAGCTTTTAAGTTGCGTCTTCATACTTTCAGGAGACTGGTTCGCCTATTTGACGTTTGTCATTTATAGCCATTTATGTTTGAACGGCGCCGAGAGATAATAGTGCATATTTTCATTACTTCTTGACCACATGAATGTATCAAAAACGACAAGTATAAGTGGGAGGATTTCCACTTTCAGAGAAACATTTCGCTTGGTTTCTTTTAAATTGTGAGTTTGAGACCATCTGAATAAATCAGTTCTACTTGACTGCTCACAATTCTAAAGAAATTGAGCCAAAAATTTCGACAGCGAAATTTTTCTTGCAAGTGGAAATCCAGCTTAAGACTTAAACTTAGAAGTTAGAACCACGGTTAGGAGTTTGACGTAGTGGACTAATATAATTATATAATCCAATCGTTGCATGACTTCAGGAAACTGTTTTCAGTCTTAACTGAAATATTTTGAACTTACGTAGATTAATTAGACTAGTTCTGAATTGCAAAAATTGTGTCAAAATTCAAATTGGTTCAATAAATCATAAAGCATAACTGGTTGCAGGCTAATTTAATATTATTAGTTTCATATTATTCTGACACTGCAATCGAGCAACGAAAAATTCGTTGGCTCGAGCGGGATTTGAACTCGCATCTTCGGGTATCTAGACCGCCGCTCTACCCATTGAGCTATCGGTCTAGATACCCGAAGATGCGAGTTCAAATCCCGCTCGAGCCAACGAATTTTTCGTTGCTCGATTGCAGTGTCAGAATAATATGAAACTAGTTTTTCGTATCTCTGAGGATGATTTTGAAATTTAATATTATTAGGTCATGACATTGTGATAATTATTCAAAAAAATATCTTGAGAAATTCTAAAGAAAAATGTCAGTAGCAATGAATGTTTTAGTCTCAAAACTTTATTTTTGAGATTGTGCATGCAGCCTTGCAGGATACTAATTTTGATGAAACTTCGGTCGATAGTAAATTTTCGCTGTTCCGAGGCGAAGGCTCTTATTATTAGACAGATTTAGATCGAGCACGCGGACGTCAAAGACGACGTGAAAATGGCGTGTTGTCACAGAATAAGGCACACAGAAGGTCGACTCAAGTAACCGCTGGCACGCCATGATTCATCATCAAAATGCTGACGCCATGGTCCTAGCCAGTGTGCGTTTGAGAGGCATCACTCCCTGGATGTCCGCCATTTTGAATAATATCAGGGGGGTGAATGCCTCTCAAATGCGCACTGGCTAGGACCATGGCGTCAGCATTTGATGACGAATTACGGGTTACGCCAAAATCATAGGAAAATCATAGGAAAAACCAAGAAGTCGGCCTTCTGTGTACCTTATTCTGTGGTGTTGTGCCCATGTATGGATATGCCACGGGGGGGTTGGGGGTGGGGGTGGGAGGGGACAACGTCCCCCCAAAAAACAAAAAAATGTAGAAAACCTTGGAAATTAGGGTAAATACTAGGAAAATTCTGGCAGATATCAGAAAATATGCTCAATTCAGTTTATTTCAATCCTCCATAAAAGTTGGGGCAAACTTTCAACGCATGCTTCCAGAAACCTTTTCTGGCGTGCTCCCTTGAATACATTCATGCACATACTGTAAAAATTACTTCTGGCGCAATCCCACGAACAATTCTGCATCCGTTATAGCATGCAACGTGCGAAGCTATAAGGATTATAAAAGCAGTGAGTTTGCAAAAGATATCGCGGATGTCCCCTGGGATACGGTAGAGATACTGGATGACGTATCCGATAGGGTTGATACATTTAATGACCTGTTCCTTAGTGTATTGGATAAGCATGCTCCCATAAAAAAATTAAAATGAAAACAAAACGTTTACCATTTATTACGCCTGAAATCAGATCATTGATCAAAGAGAGGGATTTATCACATAAGATAGCTCGCCAAACCTCGCAAACTAGGGACTGGTTAGTATTTAAATCATATAAGATCAAGGTTAAGAACGAATTACGAAATGCCGAAAAACTTTATGTTCACGAACAAATCCTATTAAATCAAAACGCACCACGATGTATTTGGAAAATCATTCGCAGTTGTATCCCTAGAAAGATAGATGATCAGCCATGCTACACAAAACCCACTTCTGAGTTGTGTGAACAATTTAACAACTATTTCATATCAGTAGGAGAAAAGACGGCAGAATCTGCAAAAAGACTGACGATCGAGTACGACTTAATTATGGAGCTATCGGCGTCTGCAGAACCGAAGCAAAGTTATCCTTTATCTGATCAGTTTTTTTTCAACCAAGTATCTTACACCAAAATTGAACAAGTGATAAAGAATATGCCATCCAATAAAGCACCAGGTTATGATAAAATTTCTATCAATGTTCTTAAGGATTGTTACCCACATATTTTATCAACCCTGACAGGCCTTGTTAATGCCAGCTTTAGTCAAGAGGTTTTTCCTCTTCAGTGGAAAAAAGCAGAGGTTATACCACTACATAAAGAGGGGGATCATGAAATTGCAGTGAATAATCGACCTATCTCATTGCTACCCGTACTGTCAAAGGTCACTGAACGTGTTGCATTGGAACAATTTACTGATTATTTGATTGAAACTAATAAGTTAAATAAACACCAGAGTGGTAACCGTAAAAACCATTCCACTGAAACTTTGCAGCTGTTTTTAACGGAGTGTATATATCAATCTATAGATAGAAAGAATCTTACAGCTGTGATATTACTGGATCTAAGCAAGGCGTTCGACAGTATAAGTTATGATATCCTGTTGGAAAAACTTCGAAAGTTTGGAACAAGTGCG